TGGGCCTAATACAAGCTTAAATGAGCCCATCTTCGTATAATCCTTGGGAATTATCGATACCTAAACAGACCAATAATATGGCCCCCAATAATATCAATAATATCAATATACTCTTTTTTTTTTTGTGCAAATATCAATATACTCTTACCGGAGATTTTTTCACGTTTGTTTAGCGGATTATATAAAAAAAAATGTTGGTAACAACATCAGTCATCAATTAACCGAACATCCATATACTCTTATCAGGAACTGAAAACAAAAGGTCAACAATAAATAAATAAAAACAAGTGACGTGGAAAATCTAAACCCCTAAAATATAATACGTCGTCGAATAAAGTAATTGTCAAAATCTTGCTTTCGCCTTTTTTCTATCTAAATTTTTTCCAGGAGTCTCCAGCTTGATTTTGAGAGGTATTATGGTAAACGATGTTATCGAACAACTTAGGCCCTACTTTGCCAGCTTGTAGCTACTAATTTTACCGCGTGGCTTTCATTATCACTAGCATGAGAACTCATAACTCTTCGCTTAACAATATTGTCGAAATACAAAAAGCTAAAGAGAGACGTCGTTTTTTTTTTTTCTTTTTTTCTTTAATAGCCATCGTTGCCCGACCAAAAAAATTATAATAAACCTTAACTAGTGATTACATATGATTTACTCTGCAATTATTCGTTAGTAACTAACTATAAATATATTCTCTTATACCAAAGAAACCTATATATACAAAAATTTTAAATCAAACTTTTGAGATAAGATATAGTTGGATGAAGTGGGGGTTTGATCTCGATGGTCATCCTCAGTGTTTGATTCCCCCTTTTTCGTTTCTATTCTATTTTAAGAATATGAAAAGACGTATAATATGCACAAGTTGGTACTTATAGATCAATATGATATATATATATATAACTTGAAGAAAATATTTATTAGCTTTTCAAGGTTTATTATATAATTAATATATATACGTCCTCCGTTCTTTTATAAGTGATTTTTTAGGAGAATGCATATAGATTAAAAATTATTTAATTTTTGTTTATTTATAAACTAAAACATCATTTATTATATAATTAACCAATAAAAAAAACAATCTACAGTATATAAATCGTCAAAACCAATAAAAAATAATTAGTTTTGCATTGAAAATTGAAAACATAATCTATTTAAAACAAAATTAAAAGCTTAAAACATCACTTATAAAAGAACGGAGGGAATATGTTCTTATCTAAATATCTTGTATATGAGATATGGATCGAAACTTTGATTAACTTGTTTGCTATCACTAAATGTTTCGAAGTTATGCTTATAATTGTAGTGGTATTGATTCAATATGTTCCTAGTAAAAACAAAATACAAGTTTTGATCATAATAATAAATTATAATAAACAAATAAAAATTAAGTTTCCAGAAATAGAGACTAAGAAAAGGAAGACCATCCTCAGGGCGAGGCTTGATCCTATCTCGAGGGCTCAATCTTCTATCCCTCTCGGTTCCTCTCTTATGGTTATCTGGTTCTCTTTGTTTCAAGATCCTTAGTTGCAGGTTTGCGTCTGTTCTCTGCTTTTGATCATAAAAAAAAAAGAAAAGGAAGATATTATTTCGTTTAGTATATTATTTTTAAAAACGACCAAATAGTTGTAATTTATTGTCAAAATATAATTTTCAATGAAATAATCCGCATATATAACACATCGTTGACCCCAAAAAATGACAAAAGTTTAACAAAATGGTTGAACCTAAAAATAATTATGCCTCAACATGTGTAAGACTAAAAGTATATGCTTATTTTAAAGCTTTATTGAAAGCAAGACTGTAATAGTGATTCTATATAAGATCAATCAACAATTTTATTAACTCCGGTTTGTATATACTGGATTATGCTTGTGGAGGGAGCTCATCGTGCACCAAATTATATAATTCTATTATTAGAAGTATATTGGTTTATTTAACAAATAATTAACTAAACTCACAAAGTCACATGTCAAAAGTTGAAACCTATATATATCACCTTGAAATCCACGTCATCAATTCTCTATACACTTTTGTCTTTTGACCCGAATTTACGGGTTACGTACACATTATGTGATTATGAGATATGCAAGACATGCACGCTATGATATATGCATGACATCGCCGATTAGCAGATTTAATTACGTATCCAAAATTAAAGACCTGTGTGTCACTGTGTGGATATTATCATGTTATCTTCAACGTTCACAAAAAAAAAAAAAAAAAAACCCCAAAAAGAGAATAACAAAGCTTTAAAAAAACAATTTTGACCAACATGTTCTTTATCATCAATTGATGGATTTTTTTTTTGAGTACCCCCTATAACAACATTTTCTTTCAGGTTATTCGACTGATGGATACGATCCTGAAGAGCAGCTTTTGCTAAATCTCGTAAATGTTAGAGTTAATATACCATTTTCAATTTTTGATAGGAATTACAAAAATTCACTTGAAGTGAAATGACCACAAAATTACGAAATTAGAAAAACAAACTATGGTAAGAGAAACAAAAACAAAAACGCAACCATAATAAAAAACAAACGTCAATCAAATGAGAATTAACGAAGAGAAAATCGTCTTAAACGAGCGTCCAAAAGCTTATTTGAATAGGATTTGGTGCATGTAGTTAAAACAAGCCTCAAAGCCTACAATTTCACCGGCAACCAAAAATTGATGGATCTTTAATGGAAGAGATAACAATATAAATAGAAACGAATTAACACCAGATGCCCCGTGACACGAAAACTATCGAGTGAAAGAAACCCCAAATTCTTTCTTCTATTCGCTTAAAATTATTTTTACAGCATCATGTACGTGTGGTGTGAACACAAGATATCAATTAAATTTGATAGTTAACTTTCTAATTATTATATATTTACATATACTACCAAGAAAAATGATCAAACGGAAGCCAGTTAATTCCATGGATAAGAAAAAAGCCTAAACTTAAATACATATATATATATATATATATATATATATATATATGGGAGACTCACAAAAATGCCCCTTTTTTAATACCCCTTTTCAAAAATGCCCCATTTGGATGTCCATTTTTAAAAATACCCCTTTTATGTACAAAATGACTAAATTACCCTTCTTTTAATAAAAGATATCATAAATATATAAGGAAATATAACAAAATTAGGTCCACAAAATACAAAATATTTTTTGGCGGGAAAAGTGATCCCCCAATTTTTCCCGCCAAAACACTTGTAAAAATTTGTAAAACCTTTAAAATACCTTTGTAAAATTTTCCCGTCAAAATTTTTTCTCCGCCAAAAAATTTTCCCGCCAAAAATTATTGTTGGCGAGAAAA